TAACTGAGTCCATCTGTGTTTATACGTCCATGAATTAACATAATAGTGAATTTAAAGTTACCACTGTCTGATTCTATCATAATCGTGCAAAAAGATATCTATTATTCTATTATAAATATTATTATAGATATATATTATTATTCAATGTCGAACATAACCTAGACGTTATTGTGTGTGACCAGTGTATAAAGTCTAACAAGAAACTAACTTAAATAAAAAAGTGAACATGCAGCAGTAAGTAAACTATCATTCCATCTGGAAAAACGAACGGAGGAGCATCAAGATTTAATTTCTTTATTAAAAGATAAAAATAAAAAAAATTTAGCCATACCCACACCTTCGTCATCTAGCCAAAAAACTGTAAATAAAGCAGGTCCAAGCAACTCAGATTCTACCAGTCAAGAGCCCATTAACATGTCATTAAACAAAAACACAAGTCTACCTCATTCATACATGAGTGATAAACAAAAAGCAAATAAAAACAATCTAAGAACAAGACACTCATCTTGGAATACCCAATCGAAAAACGAAAACAAATACAAACCGATTATTGGAAGCAACGAATCGCCTACTGTAAACACTATTCCTATAATAGACAAGGTCATGTACATGTGTCCCGCATAGGTGTTGATATGAAAGCCGATGATCTTCTAAAATTTTTGGGTGAGACGGTACTCGATGTTACTTTTAACTGCATGGAATTGCATAGAACTGATAAATACTCAACATATAAGGTGTCTTTCCCTTTCGATAAAATTGATGAAATCTGCAATCCTAATATTTGGACCAAAGAAGCTGCCGTTAGGATATTTCATATTTCAATTCAAAAGAAAGTTTAAGCACATAACGAAGACGAAGGAAGAAATCTAGAAGCTTCTACAAACTTTTATCAAAATAAACTAGTTCGACAAGGTACGGTATGCATGTTTCATGTTAATTTTCAGTGTATTTCAAAATCAAATCGATATGATCAATGCTTTTCTTGCGGATCAAAATTTATAGGACGTCATATGTTTGTGGGAACACTGGCAAGGAAAAGAAAATTTAAAATTAATTAGCATCTCCTGCTTTTCATTAGCTAATTTCTTTTGTAGGATAAAAAAGAAACAAGTCGGAGTTATGTATTCTTCTCTTAATTTAAATGAATATAATGTAGAGCAAAGTTCTGAGTTTTGTGCAATTTTTCAGTTCCAGTCAATGGAGACAGCAGACTAATAATATTTAGGGTGTCACTACGCCCTGACAAGGGCTAAAGGATTGAGGAGGAGGAATAAAACACCCATATTTTAACTGTATACAGTTCGGGCAAGGTTCGAATTTTGACTTGTTTTTGGTGAATTTTGAGAATGCCATATCGTCCTTGCTTAGTGAATCACACAAACTGATCATATTTGGTGCTTTTAATACAACTACTACTTGTCGGTTTATAACGTTCTCCGACATTTTCCGACTTCCAATCGCCACTTAGTCCGGTTGTTCCATGGGTCTTCTTCTATGGCCCTCTCTCTCAGTGCTTTATTTATTCCTTCACTCCAACTTTTTCTTGGTCTACCTCGTTTTCTCTTTTCTTCTGGTTGCCATTTTAATATTTCATTTCATTTCAGCGTTGCCAGTGTTCTTTCTTTTAGTGGCCATACCTGACAGCTGTATTGAGTGATACTTTTTACTATAGTCTCATATATCCTCTTTTTATTTTCTTTGCTGATGGATTGGTCCCATAAAATGCTCCTGACGTATTTCTCCCTCTTATGCCTTTGTCCAACGTTCCATCTTGTGCTTTAAATATAAATTTTAAAATTAAATCTGACCCTTGTTTTGATATTCAAACAACATATTTTTGTAAAAAGTAACTATAAACGATTATACTAGAATTACACCCCAGTCTAGTAGTTGCATCGACAACATTATGGCAATTTTTTCAGAAAAGATCTACGGAGTATTTGAACTTGGAAATTAAGGTCTTACAGATCTAATTTTTCTCTTATTAAACACATTGCAGATGCCACTAAGGATACCGATGTGTTCAAAGTATATCAGCTCCGATTTGCTATGCGTAAAACATGGAGTCCCACAAGGTTCGGTTTTAGGACATCTTTTGTTTAATATTTATGTCAAAGACTTGCCTAAATTCATATCTCTGTACAAAACACTATAATCCGCAGTTGATATGCCATATTATATCAGGAAGAAGTTTATTCTAAATTTAGCTCATGGTTTGCTGCTAACAAACTAAAATTTAACTCTTATAAAACGCAAAATTTTGTTATATCTCCAAATAATTTACACAATAATATAGATAACAAAGAGTCTGTTAAACTATTGGGAATAACCGTAGATAATCGACTCATATCTCACAACTTAAGAAAAAGCTATCAAGCTCATTATTTGTTATTCGCCAACTAGCAAGGTTTGTCAACTTTAAAACATTAAACATAATATATTTTTCTTTATTTCACTTTCACCCAAACTATGCTGTAATCATATGGGGCAATTCAACAAATGCACTGCAAATTTTTAGAATTCAAAAGAAAGCTGTTAGGATTTAAGCAGGGGTTAGTTATCTAGAACACTGCCGACCTTTCTTTATCAAATTCAAAATTATGAAGTTTTTTCTGTTTAATATGTGTTCTTGTTTGTATATATTTGTTACGTTTTATATTCCTTTTTTATATAGGTACTATGTATTTTTTTGACTTGCCATAAACAATATTTGTATCTTTTATTCTTTCAACACTGGTAGTGATCATCGATTAGTTAGGACGCGAATAGAAATAAATACGAAATTAGATAGAAGAAAATTATTAACACAGGATAAATTTCCAAACATAGAAGCACTCGAAATGAATCAAGAGGAATATCAAAGTGAACTAAAAAAGAAACTAGGACCTCTACCAGTATTTATCACGAAAGATATAAATGAAATAACATTAACGAATGACATAACATCAACTGCAAAAAAGATCTGTGATAAAAATAAAAATCCCAGAAAAACGAAACTGAAACAAACAACACTTAATTTAATGGAAGAAAGAAGAAGAACATCGACAGAATTACCAGAGTATAAAGCTATCAACAATAAAGTTAAAAAGAGCATAAGGTCAGACTTGCGGGCTTATAAAACAAAACAAATATTGCAAACCATCGAAAACGATAGAAACATGAGAGTATTGAAATCAAATTTAACTAAAGGAAAATCAAAGATAACTAAAATCAAAAATCAACAGGGGAATACGGTGACCGAAAAAACTCAAATAATCAAGGAAATACAAACGTTCTATAAGAATCTTTATACATCTACTATACAGAACCCCGAAACAGACCACAGAACAATTCTAAACGTCGGCTCGGAAACCCTCCCTCAAATAACCTCTTCGGAAATTAGACATGCCTTACAGCAAATGAAAAACAAAAAAGCTCCTGGCGAGGATCTTATAACGTCTGAAATGTTAAAAATTGGCGCAACATCGTTGTAGAAGTTTTGGAAGTCTTACTGAATAAGTGTCAAAACAGAAAAAGTAAGAAACAGAAAAAAGAATACCTACCCAGCCTATGGGAAAACGCCGAAATAATACTTTTACACAAGAAATGAGACACTACTAATATTGAAAACTACAGACCTATAAGTTTGTTGTCGCACTTATACAAATTGTTAACAAGAATAATAACCAACCGCATAACACAAAAACTTGATTTATATCAACCGGTTGAACAGGCGGGATTTAGAAAAGGGTTTGGTGCTAATGACCACTTACAAACCATTAGAACACTAGTAGAAAAAACCACAGAATATAATGTACCTTTACATACGGCATTTATCAACTTTCACAAGGCTTTCGATAGTATTGAGACTTGGTCCTCCTGAAGGATGCTCGAATAGACTCACGGTACACTACACTCATTAAAAACATTTATGAACAGGCCACATTCCACATCAAAATCAATGAAGACGAAAAAACTGAAAAAATGCGCCTTGAGTATTAGACAAGGTAATACTATTTCACCCAAGCTTTTTACCTTAGCATTGGAAAATGTATTCAAACAGCTTGACTGGGAGGAAAAAGGTCTAAACATTGATGGTGTACGTTTGAGTCATTTGAGGTTTGCGGATGACATAGTATTATTTAGTACAGATATCAAGGAACTGGAGCAAATGTTGAAGGAATTAAACCAGCAGTCAAATAAAATAGGTCTCAAAATGAACCTTCAGAAAACAAAAATAATGAGAAATTTACAAACTAATCTTGTTATTGACAACGTCAGTCTTGAAAATGTAGACCACTATATATATATATATATATATATATATATATATATATATATATATATATATATATATATATATATCTTGGACATACCATTAAAATCGGCAAAGAAAATCAAATAGCCGAAATAAAAAGACGCATACAACTGTCTTGGGGAGCTTTCGGCAAATTAAGCTTTATTTTGAAGAATAAAGATATACCAATGTGTCTAAAACGTAGAGTTTATGACAAATGTATCTTGCCTGTAACTACATATGGACTGGAGACCATGGTCTTCATAAAGAAAACCTTAGAGCAGCTCAGTACAATCCAAAGAGCAATGGAGAGGGCCATGCTAGGGAATAGTTTGAGAGACAGGATTCGAAGTAACGTCATTCGTGAAAGAACAAAAATTACTGATGTCTCAGAACGTATCGCAAGGCTCAAGTGGCAATGGGTCGGACACGTTGCCCGAGATAATCCCGAAAAATGGACACAACAATTAACAAACTGAAGACCAAGAGAGAACAGGCGAGGAGTATGCAGACCGCAGAAGAATTGGACAGACGATATCAAACAAGTCGCGGGCAAGCAGTGGATGAGAATTGCCAAAAGTAGAAATCGATGGAAGCAAATGGAAGAGGCATATGTCTAGCAGTGGACGAACACAGGCTGAAGAAGAAGAAGAAGTATCTTTTATGTGCATAAATAAATACTCTACTCTACTCTACCAATTACTTAAAAATGTGTACTCGTTACCTTCGTAGTAGTTTGGACTGGGGCTACAAATTCATTTGCTTCTTTACCTTGGAAACCATCTCTGGGGCATTTAGGATCCGAGCAATACAAGTCCAATTGTTTCTTCTTATAGGGACAATTGGGGTCTCCACAAATATTATCTCCATCACCTCTTTCTTTATTAGCAAACGGACATTCAGGATTCTCACAAACATTATCACCTGTACCTAATTAAAAAATAATATTAACACTATTTTGATACATAAAAAGTCAAACCACGTACTTTTATTTGCCGGGCAACTGGGATTACTGCAAATAGAAACCATACTTTTCTTTTTAGTAAATGGACAGTCAATGTTGTCGCAAGTAGAATCAGTTTCTGAATCATCAGCAAATGGACAAAATGGATTATCACATGAACTGTTTTTGCTTATTGGTCTATCAAATGGACATGGAGATCTTTTACATATATTATCTTCTTTTTTTGCATAAGGACAATCAGGATTATAGCATATGCTCTCGTTTTCTGTATCTTTCAATGCAAATGGGCATTCGGGATTATCACACACACTGCCATTCTTTACTATTTGTGTGTTAAAAGGACAATCAGAATTTTTACATATATTACATTCCTGTTTAGCATTAGGGCACATAGGATTATCGCATATACTCTTCTTTTTGGTACCTTTTAATGTAAATGGACATTGGGGATTTTCACATATATTATCTTTCTTTTTTACATAAGGACAATCAGGATTGTCACATAGGTTCTCTTCTTCCGTAACTTTGAATGCAAATGGGCATTCGGGAATACTGCCAATGCTATTCTTCTTACATACTCTTCTATTAAAAGGACAGAGTGGATTTTCACATATGTCATCTTTCTTTTTTGCAAAAGGACAATCAGGATTGTCGCATATGCTTTCCTCGTCATTATTACATACATTGTTTTTCTTATTTTTTTGTTTATTAAAAGGACAAAAAGGATTTTCACATATATTTTTCTTTTTTGCCTGAGGACAATCAGGATTATCACATATGCTATCTTTTTCTATGTCTTTTGTTACTAATGGACATTCGGGATTATCACAAATGTTTTTCTTGCTTTTAAACACAAAAGGACATTGTGGATTACTGCACACACTGTTTTTAAGACTGTCAGTAGTTTCTGATTTAAAGGGGCAGTTGGGATTCTCGCAGAAATTATCTAAACAAAAAAACAAAAATTAAAAATATTTATTATAAATTTATAAAAAAAAACAATACACACTTCTCAACAATTGAAGTGGATATAAGGAAAATGTGTATTTTATTTTTTGTTCATAAGGTCAAATGGAAAAATGGAGTTATATAAATAAAGAGTTATTTTTCTTCGTATTTTCATACAGATGAACCGAGAGAAAGAAATTCTTTAAGAAAAAAAAATAGAAAATAAACAAAAATTGTAAAATTAACAACCTAAAATTTCTATTCTTGTTCAATTTCTAATATCTTGAAAAGAAAAATTAATAGTGTGTGGGTCCACCTCTATGTCGCCTCAGCGCTCTAACTCTATTTGGAAGACCTCTTATTATAGTGTATTTTTATGTATGAGAGAGTAATAAAACAATAAATTATGTATGCAAATCCCTAAACTGTTGATACGGGTGACTCAATGAAAAACAGATATTTGTCAACAAGTTTACAGAAGTATATAGGAAAACAATTTTAAATTGAGTATGACCACCAGGTATAAAGGTTGGAGCAGAATAGAATACAATAGTTGTGAGGGTTACTAATCCCTAAATAAGGTTGCCAGTGTCGGAGTGATGGAGGTTAACAGGTACTAATGAATTTGCAAGAAATGTAAGATGTTTATTTTATTGGTTATATATAACCAATAAAAGTTTAATAAGTACCTACCTATTTGCAAAATAAAGTTTAATTCTTTAGATAAAATAAAACGTTTTACTTTATCTGAAATGAGTGCATTCCACGAAGTAAGGGTTTCAACAATCAAACATTTAATTCTTTAATTGCAGGAATCTACGACAGTAATTGACTAGATAATTACCTTCTAAACTTATTCCACAGAAAATGTGATAGTGGGTTTTTCCATTTTGTAGGAAAGTCCAAGTGGCGTATTCAAAATTCTTAACAGTTGACTAAAAGTAGGTACTTCAGTTGCAAGGTGCAGTTTATTGTGTATAAGTACTAGTGTTATGGAAAATTTGGAAGTGCCGTGTAAATGCCGAAAAATTGGTCCTTTAATAGTTAATGAAAAAACATTAATATTTAATTGTTTTAAATCATTTACAGACAAACGTTTATGTGAAAGTGTTGATGAGACCGTTGAGTTAGTTAGCAGTACACTTGGTGTTGGGAAATCTACGATTTACAGAGTTATTAAAGAAGATAAATGTGGTAGTTTTCAAATGCCACGTAATGCTCCAGGGAAACCAAAATTTCAAATAGAATATCATTTTAAAGAAGGACTTCGACGGAAAGTGCATGAATTCTTCTTTAGACAACAATTTCCAACATTGGATAAAGTTCTTGTCTCAGTTCGAGATGATAAGGATTACCCAGAAATGAGTCGAAGTACGTTATGGAAACTTTTAAAAGAAATAGGCTTCCGCTGGAAAAAGAATCCCAGAAGTCTATTTTATTAGAAAAAAGCGATATTGTCATATGGAGAAGACATTTTCTAAGAACTATAAAGAAATCAAATGAGAAACCAAAAAATAAAAATATTTTATCTTGATGAAACATGGATCAACGAGGGTCATACACCAAATAAATTTTGGCAGGATAAAACTGTTACAAGTCAAAGGCACGCTTTTGTAAATAACTTATCTACTGGTTTAAACCCACCATTAGGAAAGGGACGCAGGCTGATAATAGTACACATTGGCAGTTCAGACGGTTTTGTTGAAGGTGGTTTATTAACTTTTGAATCAACTCGTACCGGTGACTACCATGAAGACATGAACGCTGATGTCTTTCAAGAATGGTTCGAACAAATGATAGATCTTCTTCCTAAGAACTGTGTAATAGTAATGGATAATGCATGTTATCACTCCAGACTTATAGAAGGACTGCCCACAACCAAGTGGTTAAAAAAAGACTTGCAGAATTGGCTGAGTTCAAAAAATATTATGTACCATCCCGGATCTATAAGAAAGGAACTTTATTCTTTGTGTGCCCTTCATAAAGAAAAATTTAAAAAATACGAAATTGATGAAATTGCCAAAAATCGTGGAATGACAGTACTTAGATCCCCACCATATCATTGTGAATTAAACCCGATTGAACTGGTATGGACACAGATAAAGAGTGAAGTTTCAAGAAAAAATACCACTTTTAAAATTCATGATGTTAAACAGTTGTTTTTGGAGGCCGTAAATAATGTAAAACCTGAAAACTGGGAAAAGGCAGTAAATCACACTATTAAAGAAGAGGAAAAAATGTGGAAGCTGGACAATATTACTGATAAAATGATCGAGCCAGTTATTATAAATCTTGGTTCTGAAAGTTTATCTTCTGAATCTGATTTGGATTTGTAACAAGTAGCTGTAAGTTTTATATTAATATTTTTATTCATCTATTTAACATACCTTAGACGGTTTTAAAAACTCATTTTCTCTTTTGTAATTTTTAAAAATTAAAAAAAAATGTGAATTTCTTAAAACCCTTTTTAATGTAGGCCAGTCAGTTCTAATATAGTGTGTGATAAAAGAGGTCACTTTTGTTTACATACACATAACACTTTATAACACTGAAATAATTAATTTATTTTTTACAATTATTCAAAGTAATTTTTCAATTAATCTTGAGCAGGCCCATGGAGTAGTCGGAGATACCAGTTAAAATTATGCTAATTACTCTCTCGTTCATAAAAATAAACTATAAATTATTGATGAATTGCCGCGGTATACGTTCCCAAATCGCGCGTAATGTATTGGCCAACTGATCTAAGGTTTGGGGCGGTTGAAGGAGCCTGTTTTGTTGCCTAGACATTTCGGCCCAAACATGTTCAATGCAATTCATATCAGGTGAATATGGTGGCCACTCCATTCTTGTAATGCCATGAGCTTTTATACACTCGTTGACAATTTTCGCACGGTGAGGGCGAGCATTATCAACAATCAGAACAAATTGTTCGCCTATTGCACCAAAAAATGGAACAACTATTGGTACTATGACTCTGTCTCGATTGTCTTATTAATTAAGACGACTAGTCCGTGCGACCGTCAAAACATATGCCTCCCCACACGCAAACGGATCCATCTCCAAAAAGAGTGGTTGGCACTCTCAGATTTTCATTGTAACGCTGTCCTGTTTCCCTCCACACCAATATTCCGCCATCATTCGTATACAAACGAAATCTGGACTCGTTAGTAAAGAGACAATTCCTCCAGTTTTCGAAATTCCACTGATAGTGTTCCATTGCCCAGCGATATTTGCATGCATATCATGTTTGGAACAACATTTCTTTTGTACGGGATAGAAGCCGATAAGAATATGGAGAAAAAAACCACATGCAAAAAATATTGACAATAAAGATAGCATATAGAGTATAGTACAAGAAATTATTTTAAAAATAGTTTTATATGTTAATTTTAAGAATTTTAAAATTATCTACTTCAATTGTTGAGTAGTGTAGAAAGTATCCAAGATACAAGTGATTTAACTAATTATTTCGTAATCCACTATAGAGAAGAACAACAAAGCTACAGATCCAAATTTCTTGGCCAAAAGTGTAAGATTGCTGAATGGCCAGATTAGCGCAACTTCTTTCTTATTTGTCTCTGGATAAACTGTATACTAGTTTCTTTTATTCTCTTCTATTTCTTGCTGCTTTTAATTTCGCCCCATCTTATTCCAATTTTTTAGTATTCTCTCGTCGTAGGGTAAGGGTGTACAAAATGACATACATTTTTAATAAAACCGAAAAGTTTACTTAAAGAAAACATTTTTTTAAACAAAACTTAAACATATACACACAGGAAAGAACACAAACTATAGTATTTGAAATACTTCAGACAAGTTTTTAACAAAGTAGGAGAAAATATAAACTTTTAGCCAAACATATAAAAATGAACTTCTCGTTCATTTTAGCCCACTTGGCGGGCAAAATGACACATTAATAGCGATTGATATTCTTCAGTCGGTACAAATCTCGTACACAACACATTTTTATTTTCTTGTCTAGTCCGGCACACTCAGCATGTGCCCACTTTTGATACGAACAACAGCGTAGCTATAACTCATATTTTTCTAGACAACTTATAAAGTTCTGTACAGTAAATACAAGCAGCATCATCATTTTTTTCATCAGCAAAAAAAGGTTCTCTTTCGGTTTTCGACTCGCATTCTATAAAAATATTGCTATTGCCGCTCTTTTTATTTTTGGAGTGATTCCTGGTTTCGGCTTGCTTGCTTCAATATTATCATAAACTTTTACAGCAGATTTGACACAATCTACTACAATATTTGTAGTTTCAGATTCTTGAAATATGTAGTCGGGGAATACATGGGGGTTTATTGGATAGATACAAGTTTTGGAAAATCCATGAACAGAATTCTGAATATTAGCTACTCTTCCATATTTATTTTATTTAGCGTATGGTAATTTGATACACAACATTATCACATATATGTTACAATCTAACATCTAATGTATTAATATATTCAATCGACGCTGGTGTTGCAGAGGCGAAGTCTAGAGGATCTCCATAATACTTCCTCCGAGGGCATTCGGCAATCATATGCTGGATGGTCTGTTTCTCGGCGCCGCAGTCGCACTCAGCAGAGGTTCTCATCCTCCATTTATAAAGGGTATCTGCGCAGACTCCATGACCCGTTCTTATCCTGTTAAGAGTTGACCATGATTTTCGGGGGAGGTCAAAACCTGGTGGAGTTTCTGTGATGCATGGTGTGTTTCTCATTATTAGGTTCGGTCTGTCGCTCTGCATGTCCTTCCACTGGGAGTTCATTTGGAAATTGTTGGAACTCAATTTTATTGCATCTCTAGTCGGAGGTTTTCTGGAGCGCAATCGATGTTAATTAGCGTCGGCGACATATGTGTGTATAGGTAATTGCGGGTTGTTAAGCAGCTTTTGGAATTCTCTAAGCAGAGCTTGCTGACGACGAAGATTAGGTGGAGGTATATGGCTCAGTAGTGGAAGCCACTCCACAGGTGTAGACTTGATCGTTCCAGATATGAGACGCATGGCGACATTGAGCTGGGTATCTATAATTTTTGTGTGGACGCTATTCAGCCAAACAGGAGAGCAGTATTCAGCTGCGGAGTATACGAGTCCAAGGGCTGAACACCGGAGTGTACCTGCTGATGAGCCCCATGTAGTCCCGCAAAGCTTCTGTATGATGTTGTTACGGGTTCTCAGCTTTGCTGCGGTGTTCTCAAGATGTTTCTTAAAGGAGAGTGTTCTGTCCAGGGTGACGCCGAGGTACTTGGGATTATGGTTGTGCGTGAGCAGTTGGTTATCAATGTATACTTTAAGTTTTGTGTGGGCCATTTTGTTGTTCAGGTGAAAACAGCTAACCTCGGTTTTTTTGGGGTTAGGTTTAAGTCTCCATTGTTTAAAGTACTTAACCAGGCGTTCCAGATCTTCCGTTAGGATTGCCTCGGAGTTTTGTAATAAGGAGCTTTGAGTTGCAAGTGCCCAGTCGTCTGCATATCCAAATTTTTTAGATCTGGTAGGGGGCATATCAGCTATATACATATTAAATAGCAGAGGTGCAAGTACGGAGCCCTGGGGGAGGCCATTATTAAGCGTTCTCTGTTTGCTCACTGTAGTTCCCATGGTTACACGAATGTTTCTACTGCTCAGCATAGTATTTATGAGTCGGGCGGTTGTTTTGCAGGAAATTATTTTAAGGAGCTTATAGATGAGGCCATCTTTCCAAACCGTGTCATAGGCAGCCGATAAATCGATGAATGCCACAGACGTCTTCAGTTTTCTTTGGTAACCTGCTTCTATGTAGGTAGTTATAGAGAGCACTTGGTCAGTGGTGCTTCGTTGAGGCCTGAATCCTGCTTGTTCAATTGGTATTTTTTGAAGTAGCTTTCGGCCGATTCTGTTCAGGACCAGTCTTTCGAGGAGCTTGTAAGCTGAACTGAGTAAAGCGATGGGGCGGTAAATCGCTGGGTTGTCTGTTGGTTTTCCAGGTTTTAGGATGGCTATGATTTTTGTTTGTTTAAAGAGGTTTGGTAGGTTACCTGTTTTGAGTATATCTGTATAGAATTTAGACAACCAGGTTTTTGCAGATTTCCCACAATGGATCAGGAATTCGGGAGGTATACCGTCTGTACCAGGAGCTTTGTTGGGTTTAATGTCTTTGATGGCGTTTGAGACTTCTTCTGGAGTGAACGGTGCGGAGTACTCTGTATCTGATGGACAGGCAGCTTTTAGATGTTTAAGCTCCCTTTTTATAGTAGTGGTAAACTTTTTATCACATGCTCCTCTGGAGGTGGCAACTATATGTGATGCAATTTTATTAGGGTTGAAGTCGTGGATTTGTCGTGTTGCCAGTTTGTCACTTCCGAGTTTTCTTAGGAGCGACCACGCTTTACGGCTAGACTTTTTGAAATCTAACGATTCGACTTCATTTGTCCATTTCTTCCTTCTTGCTACATCAAGGCTCAGGAGAAGTAGGCTTCATTTAACTCTTCCATAGGCTTCATTTAACAGACCACCAATTTCGAACTGAGTCCAAACTCGACCAGGATAAGCTTTGAGCCATTTGATTATTTCTTGGTCATAATAGGTTTTGAGTAGAGAGGTTGCATCCGATGTGTACAGTAAGCCGGCAAACATAAAAGTACAATGTCATTTTCTTTGTCATACAGAAGGGCGTTAAGAGATTTATGACTTGAATATCCATCCACAATTAACAAAACCTTCTCGGTTGAAGATGCCTTAGCATATTTTTGAAAATGCTGCAACCAGTGTAAATATACTGGACCCGTCATCGAGCCAGTCTCCTGGGGAATACATAAAGTTACTGCTGGTGTATGGTCAGCTAATTCTTTATTCATATTTTTGCGTGGAAATATTAGAGTAGGTAAAATAGAGCTCCTGTAAGTGCACATACAACTAACAACTGTCAGGTGGGAACCTCGTTTGGCGCTGGTAATTGCACCTACTTGTTTGCGACCGGCTGTAGCAAACACTTTATGCTGTCATTGTACGGTAAATAATGCAGATTTATCTGCATCATACATCTTCATGTGATCAATATATTCCTTTATCAAAGTGTCCTGTAACACTTTAAAAAACTTAGCTACTTGAGGTTTATTAAAAGCCTGCGCTCTTGCTACAGGTGTGGCTTCGTGTTTGTGCAGTATTATATCTGGATTTCTTCTGCGAAATTCTCTTAACCAATCTTTTCCAGCGGTCTTTTTCTGGTTATTAAAATGATGTTCAAACCTATTTTTGACTGCTAAATTATAAGCTAACTCTAATACGTCCCGTCTCGTTAGTCCAAAGACTGACTCTAGTATTTTTAAATGTTTAAACGACTGTCTTTATATTTCTATGGAAAAAGTAGGTTTAAACCTGCCTAGTCATTTTTCGCTTGTTTTTAAATTTTTATTTTTTTACAAGGCATGCCTTCTTAGGGTTGCTTGAGGTATATTGAGAAGATTTGATGCCTTGAGCCACACTATTTCACCCTTATTAATAGCTTCTATTGCCTTTACCATAGATTCTGTATCCCATGATTGCCTATTGGTCGTTCTTGCGTAATTTCGCAGCATAATATGTCAAACAAACAGAAATATTATCCATTTGTAAGGCACATTATTTTTATCTATGTACGATCAAGTAAAATTACATACTATGTATTTTGCCCCCTACAACCCTATGTCATTTTACCCCACATTAACTTAATTTAAAGTACATACATTTAAAGTACAAGTAAATACAATTTTTGGCAAAACAATAACTTATTTACTAAATTTAAAATAGGAAAACAATAAAACAATAAAATTTATAATTTATCATAAATATTTAAACTTAGCGGTTTATCTCACTAAAGCAGATTTTAATATTTCGCACCAAACTTTTCGATGCCAAAAATAAAATAATCGTCACGCCACAATTAGATATTTGTTTCTGAGCACTCCTGAACAACGAATTTGGTATATACAAGCACTATGTCAATATACTCATGTCATTATCTATTGTCTAGCCTTTCTTTTTTCCCTCTGGTTGGTATTCAAGTGCTTGTCTGGTTATGTTTCTTTCATCTTTTCTCAAAGTATGAGAAACTAAATTCACTAAGAATTTTTTTCGTGATGAACGGCATGTGGAATGCAAATTATAGATTCCCTTGCCTAGTGTTGTTAAAATTGGAATACTTTGCCCACGTGATGGAAAATTCTAAATATGACTTGACTACTCAAAACATCCTGAGTCAAGAAGCTCCATTTCGGATTTTGCGTCCAATAATAAGTAATTGCATTTTATATTAGTCCATTGATCATAAAAGTAGAGCCTGAATGGCATAAGATAGTTTTTAAACCAGCTATCATTAATTATAACAAGGAATCGAAGAAAACAAAGAGATGAAAATCAAAAATAATATTATTCTAGTATTATAGAAGCTTTAATATTACCAAATTGTTGTTTCTTAGATGGACAATCTGGGTTATTACATATTCCTTCATTGACTTGATCACCTGTTATATTTGGACCACCTGCAAACACAAAAAATTGGATTAAATAAAAACTGGACAGAAAATAGATATATATATATATATATATATATATATATATATATATATATATATATATATATATATATATATATATATATTATATTCCTTTGAATGATTAGTCTGTCCATATTGTCAATGTGTGACCTCATGGCATGTTCAAAATATTTTAATTGAGGCATTGTGATTTTTCGGGAGAATCTCTTACTGATCTTTAATTCATTTAAAAGTAGAATAATTTGTTCCATGATATATCTATAGAGTTGTTTTCTTATCCAGTAGAACGTTTCAGTGGCGTTTATTTTTTTGTCCTTTTTGATTACCTTAGTGTCCAAGATTTGCATCTATATGCCAGTACTGAAAATATTAAGGAGTTGACCAATCTCAATTTTAGGATTTTTGAAATATTGGAATTTTTCCATATTTTTATCATCTTCTCGATAGTGATATTTGCTAGACCACATTTAAGTTTTATCTCCTCCTGAAGTACCCCTGTATTTGTGGGGTATAATGGTACCAGATGTTAGTAAGAGTTTACAATACCAAACCGGTCAATTTTGGTTAACTGGGTAATCCACAATGTCTCAATCACGGTATGAGAGGGGATAAATATGTGTTGCTACAAACCATTCTTCTTCAGATGCAAATTCACTAATGGATGTTGGCGATCACATTTTCCATAAATTCTCTATTTCTTGCAATATGTATCAGAGATTGTATGTCGTTAATCCCTGTCCATTGCCTTATGTTTCGGAGCCAGGACATTTTCTTGCGTCCCATTCCTCTCTTGCCTTCAATTTTACCCTCGATTATAAGTTGGAGGAACTGGTATTTTTCATTTCGCATGATGTGACCTAGATACGCCGTTTTCCTTTTCTTGATGGTTTCGAAAACTTGGCGTTCTTGGTTTATTCTTTTAAGGACATCTATATTTGTGATTTTCGCTGTCCATGGCATTTTTAGGATACGGCGATAAAGCCACATTTCGAAAGCTTCTAATCTGTTTATATCCCTCGTTTTGAGTGTCCAGTCCTCTACGCCATATAGCAGCACTGACCATACGTAGCACTTAGTAAACCTTAGTCTCAGTTGAAGATCAAACTCTGAACAAGTCAGTACTTTCTTGAATTTTACGAAAGCTTGTCGAGCTTGCTCAATGCGACATTTTACTTCCCTGTCCGATGCCCAGTCTTCAAAAAGCCACGATCCCAGGTATTTAAATTTACTCACTCTTTCAATGAACTTAGTATTCAGTGTTATGGTGGAGTTTTCAAATGCATCTAAGTTTCTGGAGATGATCATAAATTTGGTCTTTTTGGTATTAATCTCTAATCTCATTCGCTTACTGTATTCTCCGATTATAGTGACAAGTTGTTGAAGATCTACTATGTTGTCACAAATTAAGACACCATCATCAGCATATCGTATGTTGATGATCAATACTCCATTCACCTTGATCCCCATCTCTGCATCCTCCAAAGACTCTTGAAATATGGCTTCCGAATAAATGTTAAATAAAAGAGGGGAAAGCACACATCCCTGTCGAACGCCTCTTCTTATATGTATGGGTTTGGATATGGAATTGTCTATTTTTAACTGTACCGTTTGATGCCAGTACAAGTTTTCAATGCATCTTATGTCTTTTTGGTCTATATTAACTTTCTTGAGAATCTGCATTAATTTGTGGTGTTGGACACGATCAAACGCTTTTTGGTAATCTAAAAAGTATAGGAACACATCCTTTCTCTGATCGTAACAATTTTGGACCAGCACCTGTGTTGCTACTATTGCTTCTCGTGTTCCTAAACCTTGCCTAAACCCGAACTGGGAATCACTGATGTCCCATTCACATTTTTTGTATAATCTTTGATGTAGTATTTTTAAGAATATCTTTAAAGTGTGACTTATCAGGCTAATGAGTCTGTGATCCTCACTTCTTTTTGCATTGACTTTCTTCGGCAGGGGAATAAAGGTAGAGTGTGACCACTGTTGAGGATAGCAGCAAGTTTCATAAATTAAATTAAATATTATGTGTAGTGCTGAAATTCCCCTTTCATCTAGTAATTTGAGTATTTCTGATGGGATTTCATCTGGTCCGGGTGCCTTATTGTTTTTTGAATTTAATATTATCTCCTCTTTGGTGATTGAAGGGCCAGTCAGCTGGTCGTCTGTATAAACTTCACTCATAGGTCTTTCGTCATGTAAGAGCTCCCATATAGAGATATAATTTTCCCATATATCAATTTTCCCCTTTTCACCCAGCACTATCTGGTTATCCTGATTAACTATGGTAGTTGGTCTTCGTTTTCTGTATATTCCAGCAGTCTCCTTAAGCTTTTTATGTAAATTACGGTCGTCGTGCTGTCGTTGTAAATGTTCTAGATCGATACATTGTTGCTTAAGCCATTCATTTTGTGCTATTCTTATTTTTGCTTTTATTTGCCTGTTAATGTTTTCATACATATTGCTGCCATCTTGGTCATTCTTGTGTCTTCGTCGTTCTTCCATTAGTAATAGTATTTTTTCTGTCATCCATTTTTGCCTCTTGTTATTTCGTTTGTACCCTAAGTTGTTTTTCATGATGTCTGTTACAACACTTGTAATCGTATTCCATGTTGGTGTTAGATCTTCGGTAATGTTTGTCGTCAATATTTGAATTTGTGCGTTTATTTTATTGCTTATTTCTGCTTGTATCATTGGGTCTTTCAGTTTATCCAGTGCTATCTGTTGTTGAGTTTCAGGTTTGTTCTTGCATGAAACAGTGATCTTTATGGCGGCCACTAATAGTACGTGGTCAGAAGGGACATCTGCTCCAGGGTATGTGCAAGCTCTTTTGACAGTTGTGCTGAATCTACCGTTGATAAGAATGAAGTCTATCTGATTTCTTATTATGTTCTGAGCTGTATCGGCTGGAGATTTCCAAGTATAAAGGCGACGAGGGTGGAGTTGGAACCATATGTTGGTAACTCTCATGTTTTCTTCTTGACAAAATTGTATAAGTCCGTCGCCCCTTTCGTTTCTTGTTCCAAGATCATAGGGTCCAACTACTTCTTCAAGGGAAGACGTAGTCTTCCCTTGAAGACGTAGATAATGCAGGGAAAAATACAGGGAAAACGAAGTATTGGAAGAAGACGCATCTCCTTGCCCAACAATCTGAAAAAGTGGTATAATTGCAGTTCCATCGACTTGTTCAGAGCTGCAATCTCAAAAGTGAAAATAGCTGTGATGATTACCAACCTCCTTAAAGGAGACGGTACCTAAAGAAGAAAGGGTGATCCACTATACACTATGCCTATGCACTATTATGATTTTTGTCTTTAATATGGTTAACTCCAGACTAAGCTTTTTGCTCCCATTTTCAACTGGCTGTATGAGATCAATCAGATCTTTTTGGCGTTTAACAAGAAAGGTTTCATCGTCCGTAAAGGACGTAGAGGACGTAGATTATTAATTTTTCGTAAATATTAAATAGTTGTGAAGATACATCATTGACTGATATTTTGTTCTGGGTGAATTTTATTTGAAATTATGTTAAGTACTTTTGATCCGGGGAAAGTTTTCAGCGTCCCATTTATGGTTTTTAGCATTATATTGCTAACGTGTGAGATAATAAAAATAGTTCTGTATTTATCGTACTTACGAATTGTGTGTTGCTGGCATTGTAAACAGCGTCTAGTGAGTAGAACATTCAATGGAATGCATATTTGATTAAAGAGGCGGTAAAGCAACTTTATTTAGTTCTTTTGTTTTCTTTGACATTTCTGTTGTTATGGTATGCCTGGCACCTTATTCTGTTTAAGTTGATTGATTGCTAGTCTTTGCTTTCTAGTATATCTGGTTCTTCTTCCATTTCTTTTAAATAAAGGTTGATATGTCTCCGGGTCATCTTTATCTACATAGATCCTGGCAGTATAATCTGAACGTTTGTGCTATATCCTCTCTATTAGTTATAAGGATTCTTTTGTGATCTTTGATAGCCCAAATTGTAGCTTTAAAGACCCTTTTTATGTATTTGGTAGTGTTGACAGCTATATCGTGCTTAGATGAACAGCCTTTCTTTACGAACTTAATTAGTGCTTTATTTTCACCTATTTGACGATTTTTAAATGTAAATGTAAGAAATTGAATTAATTATGTCTGACTGTCTGTTCTTCAATACTAATTCTCCGTTATTAAAAAAGATAGAATGACAAATGAGGTACAAAGTACTGTTTTAAAGTAACCAAAATAGTACAACCGATATATTATTCGACACGCCTTTGCAAAACGAGAACAAATAATTTTCGTTTTTATATCATGTTTGGTTAAAAAGTTGTAACCGAGAGTGCCACATTTTAATCGCAGAAATAATACATGTGAGATATCAAATTTAGTTCCGGTTTTGATGTCATTTCTGGTTAAAAAGTTTGAATCGTAGCGGAATTTGGAGCGGAGTTTGGATTACAAAGGAGCGGAAGTTTGGCAAAAATGACTTAAAATTAGTAAAATCGTATATCAATGAACGCAAAGTTAAAGAAACCGTTCAAATATCGACTTCCTGTTTTACTTCCGGTCACGTTGGGTGAAAACATAGGACTTACTAAGTCCAATTGCTCGTTTTAATTTCAATTTCAATCCAATGTTATTTGGATATTCGCGGATAGTTGGCAATGTTATTTGGATATTTAGTTCTAGAATTCTGTCAAAGAAGTATGAGTTCAGTTATTACGTTTTGTTATTTCGGCGTCCACTGAAACATCACTATAAGAAAAGCGATAAATTTCTTGAATGGATAGCGGTTCTTTTGGAATCTTGGCCTATCTTAAACGCTGGCCAATCTTCTTCGTTGATTTTAAGGTGATTTGTCGAAAAAATACACGTTCCGATAATATTTTATTAATAATATCTGTAATATGTTTCTAATATACCTCTTTGGTTCGTTGCCTCTTTATGAGCGAATAGGTGGCTTGATGTTCCCTGAAACGGTTTTAATGTATTTAGTGTTTTAATTTTAAATAATTAAAAATATCATCATTACTAACGGGAACGATAGGTCATATCAACGACCGCTTTCAAATCAATACCTCCAATAATAGTCGTAGGTATAAAGTCAACAAAAAATTCCAGACTACCTATAAATCCCGATAATGGTATATCTTGTAAATACCTGTCGGCGTGTATACATGCTTTAATACATGTGAAATGTGTTTACCTGTTTGCTTTCCTCCTAAATATGGACAAGGAGTTTCATTAAAAGGGCAGTTGGGGTTGTCACATGGTTCTGGTAGAGCATAGGGACAAGATATGCTTCCACAGGGACCACGTGTCTCTGGATTAGGAACGGGACATTTTAACTTCTGTAATTCAGGAGGTTGTAAAGGACAATTTGGATTTTTGCAAGTATCTCTTGGTAACGGATCTGGGCAATCCCAGTGAATGGGTGGTAAGACATCCCCAGGATAATCACATTTAGGATGTCCACAAGTAGTTCCTAGAGGTGCTGGAAGAAACATAAGTTCTAAAGCTGCGTCCTCCTCCCGTAATCCTAAAAAGAATAAAGTTAATTATCGGTACTAAAAATTTTGTATTCAGATATAAAATGTAGAATAAAAAATCAAAGAATTTATTTATTGAATTCTTTTACATTTAAAAATTTCTGAAAACATATTTAAAAAAAAAAGTATATACGGTCCGTCCCAAACCCTTTTTTCAGTGCGTCACTAAATGTGACGTCATATAGGATTTTAAGAATGTCGAAAATTATTGCTTGACATTTTAGTTAAATCTGACAGTTGGAGGAACGTAATCGACTAAATGTGAAAAGGTTATTTTTTTAAATAGGTATGTAGTCTTTGTTCTTTCTCGGTATATTTAAAATATTTTTATGACAATAAATACAAAATTAAATTTTCACTGTAAAATGTCTAAAAATACTAACCTGGAATGACAATTATCATTTTATCAGTTGACATTGTGAAAGTATTGTCATGATCAAGATAATCTGCGTCAAATTATATTTATGCGCATCATTGATTGGATATCTATTTAGCGTATTCTAAACTCCAACCAATTATACATCCGTAAGTAGAATTCGCTTTAATATGCAAATACTCGTGAACGATACATAATTTTCTATGTTCTATGTATAATAATCACAGACTCACGTCTTTTTCTGTCACTTCTAGCTTTATGTGTTAGAGAGAATTCGATCAACTATGACGCACTGAAAAAAGGGTTTGGGACGGACCGTAGCTTAACTATTTGAAAAGAAAAAGTCAAAATTACCCTTTCTGTTGCATTTTGCACATACGATAACTTATATATAACATATAAATCCATCAGAAAGGGAGGAGAATATATATGTTCAATCTAAAACTCGCTGGTTTCTCCCTTTCGCATTAGTTATATATCTTACCATAGAAAAATAATAAGCAAGTGGACTATATAAAATTCTATTTAAAAACAAGTAAAACCAAAAAACAAATATGCATAAACATACATACTTTCAAATATAATGAAACATAAACATCTACTTTAAATATTATGTGATACAAAAGCCAATATTTTATTTATAGTTGAAATGAGCTTACAAAAGGTAAACTAATTTCCGTAAAAACTAAAAACACAAATGTTTTGAGAACTAAAAATTACGAGACGAATTGTGAATATATCACACAAAACAATCCACCTATCTACAAAAAAAGTTATGAGTATGCTAACATAATAATGCGGCAGGAAAAAACAATGACTTTAACAGCTAATTGCCACGTAAATATCAACGAGGCAATATACAACGATTATTTTTATACTTTTAATGACTTATGGGTTGTTTATTTCATTGTCTGTTTCTTTTATGTAAATTCTTTCACTGTCAAAAAAAAACTGTTAAGTTCTATTAATTCACTAGAAAAACATAAATAGCAAACAAACTTTTCAGTCACATTGGACGCATGTGTCCAAATGTTTTGGCTTGAAAACGAGGACAGGATCTTTGTGGATTTTCTCTTCGATGATGATGTCGTTTTTCAGTATTGATATTGGATTGGATTGTTTTCGTGGTTTTGTAAATCTTTCAGATGATATTGGAAACCACAAAAAAAAAATGAATCTTGCCCTGTCCTTTTAATTCTTTACTTTTCGGTACCCACAAAAACTGTTTTCGAGGACGTCGGCATCCTATTATTTAACAGGAAGTTCGTGACTGATAAAAGGCAGTGATAATGCTGGGAGAAATGATAGTTTGTTTTTAGGCTGTCTGAATACTAGATGTCCTTGAGGAAGACAAGGTGTTCTGAGAAAATTTTGAACCTAGTGTTAGGAGCTCGAATCATTGTATTCTGGAGCTCTAAATCATTTAAGATCTTATTCCTTTTTCTGTGTTTGAGGAGTGCATATAAGGGAGCAAGGTATTCAATAATAGGTCGAATGAATGTTTGGTAGGCGTGCAGTAGCGTCGATCTGTCCGTTGTTATACCAAATTTACCGCTTAGCGTTCCCAGGGGCTGGCTTGACTTCTTACCCTAATAAGGGTAGTTCTAATTTCGGTGTTACAATTTACAGTTTGTTAACTGGACTTTCAAGTAGCATATCGTTGATTGGAATTTAAATTACCTTGGTGAGTCAGCGGAAGAATGATATCCATTTTATAGCTAGGGGATCTCAACACAATGGCCTGTGTTTTGCTAGCACTGAGTGTAATTCTCCACTTTGCACACTATTTTTCTACTGTTTATTTGTCGCTGGACCATATTGACTACCGAAATGAAGGGAGGAACAAAGATCAATTAGAAAGAAGTATATTTTTTTGTTTGACAATAAACGTTTTGTTCAATAAAGATTGAATTTGTCAAATATATTGAATAGAAAATATCTAAGTAACTGGATATTTTAATAATTTTAAAATTCTGTAAATTAGTCATAAAAATAGTGTGCGAACAAGCTGCAAATAACGGTTAAATATACATATATATATATATATATATATATATATATATATATATATATATATCTGAGTTTTCACGAAAATAAAAAATTGAAACGTGGAAGTGTTTTACAAATTGAAACACGTTTCATATTTGTATTCAACGATTCCTTTGGTGTAGTCAACGTAACAATTAAAGTTATTAAAGTAAAGGTAAAGGTTATTAAAGTACTTAGGAGTCAAAGCTCCTGAAGATCCAAATCTAAAATCAGAAATTCGATCGAGAATACAGCAATTCAGAGAAGCCTTTTTGAGAATGAGGGGAAACTTCTAGGTAATTAAAGACTCCATCTGCAAATCCAATATCGGATGGTAAAATGTTATATCCACTCTATTCTTCTTTATGATGCCAAAGCTTGGACTGTTAATGTTGAGTTAATAAGAAAGCTAGAAGCTTTTGAAAAAGCTAGAAGCTTTTGAAATGTAGATTTTTCGAAGGATTTTGAAATTACCATGTTCATACTACCATGATCATATTACGAAAGAAATAGTTTTGCACAGAATGAGAAGAGACCGAGAACTTTTGACAACCATTAAATGGAAAAAGACAGCACATTTGGGGCACATACTTAGAATTGACAAGTACGAGTTGTTGCAGCTGATCATGAAGGGTAAAATCGAAAGAAAAAGGGTTCCTGGGACGACAAATATCCTTGCTGGATAAATTAAATAAAATATTCGCGACTGGACCAGGTTGAACACACAGGTGCATTTAAAAAAAGCAGCAGATTTATAAAAATCATAGCCAATGGTATCTTTTAAAAATATACATCGAAATTAATGATAAATGTAAATTTTTATCCCAAATATCCCTTAAATAAGGAAATTCGTGGAGTTATCTGAACGTAGTCGAAATTTATTAAAATAAATGTAATTTAAATAAATTTTTTTGACTTTGACACACTACTGCTCCAGTAGTATCAACTAAAATAATTTAGTCAAATTTATATATCAGACAAAAAAACATTCTAAGCAGTGACAAAGCACCTTTGCAGTCATTTGGAAATGACCTTTGTTCTCTCAAATGGTATAAACAAATTTAATTGTTTAGAAACTACTTGATCGATTGTGCCCATTTTTCGTAAATATAATACCTACATAAAAACACAATATGAAATGTGTTTTAAATGACTCGAATCAGTGTCGAATGTCGGGTGTCACTCGACACTGAGGAGTAGGCAGATTGAAACCTCAATGTATTGAGACCCCGAACTCGAACGGAACCATATCTCTTATAAAAATGGCTTCAAAATTGGTGCCAAAACGTCGAGTATTAAAGTCTCAACGCGGTTGTTCCCCCGAGAACTCAGTAATTTTCATTCATTCATATATATATATATATATATATATATATATATATATATATATATATATATATATATATATATGTTAAATCACTAACTTCTTGATTGACTTTTTAAAAAAGATTTATTTCACAAATAAAAGTTACACTTAGTTATACGATAAAATGAAGCAAATGAAATTATATAATACAAATGTTATTAGTAAGAAACTTATATGACGAGTGAAAAATATAATGTTAGTCCTGAATTTATAATCTATCTACAAAATGTGGTGTCGGCATTTCCCACGAAAGGCCAGCTTTGGTCAGAGTTTGATGTCCGTGCATAGTCAGCTATCTCTATGGGAACGCTTGCTAAAAGAATGATGAAATAGGAACTGATATTGCGAAACCAAAGTGTCGGTAACCCTTGAGTGGTTCAAGGTGACTATTTTCACATATAACAGCTCCCCTCATTAGTGAAAAGTCGATGCCTTGCTTCGACTTTTAAAGCTCAATTGGGGTTTCGGAGACTTCTTCATTTTCTGGGCGTACGTCTGGTCTTCTTTTAAAGGTTAATCCTTTAAGTTTCTGTTTAATGGAACTGCTGCGATGTGGTGAAGGTGGAGGTGAGTCCTGAGGGTAGTTCATGGCAAGTCTTGGAAATCTTTTGCGTCTACATTTGCAGAGGATGTATACAAAAACTAGAATGATAATTAATGATAAAGACAATATAGTGAACCAAGGCAAATGTTTTTCGATGAATGGTTGGTTCATGATTTGGTCGAGTTCTTCTGAATATTGGTCCAGGTTATGTTGTGCAATATTTAAATCGTCTGCATTTATCTTATTGAGTTGTAATGGTTTCAAATTTGGTATATGGTTTCTTCTTCCGAAATGGTCACAACATCTGTATGGAATATTAACTGGATGACTTCTGTAGGTTATATTTGGATATTTATTGATTTGATCTCTGGCGTGGACTCTGGTACTTCCAATAAATGCTGTACATTCGGGTAGTAATCTTAGAATTGTGTTTACTTTGATTGTCTGGGTACTAATGTCTTTTCTTTCACACTTGATTGTAACTGGTAATGGATCGGATACTGTTATTAACCATAAATTTCGGTCAATTTCTTGCACATTGTAATCTTGTGCTAAAAACGTCGACATCTGACAAGTTTTTGGTAGAAAGCTAACTGGTTTCAATAACTGTGCCTCACATATAGTATCGCTGTCTATTGGATAGGGAAGAATATCTGTGCACATTCTTTGATTTGGA